TGATGCTTCTCTGATTTCTTTCTCCACCATCGTGTCATCCGTATATAGTAAGGCTACAGATTTTTTGAGTTAACCTTGTATCCTGCCACTTTGCTGAAGGTGTTTATCAACTGTAGGAGTTCCCTGTTAGAGTTTTTCGAGTCACTTATGTAGACTATCATATCATCTGCAACCAGTAAGAGTTTGACTTCTTCCTTTCTGACTTGTATTCCCTTGATCTCCTTTTGTTGTCTTATAGCTCTAGCTAGGACTTCAAGGACAATATAGAGGAGGTATGGAGAGAGTGGACAGCCTTGTTTTGTTCCTGATTTTAGAGGAATTGCATTGAGATTCTCTCCATTTAATTTGTTGTTGGCTGTTGGCTTGCTGTATTTTGCTTTTATTATGTTGAGGTATGTTCCTGTTATCCCTGATTTCTCCAGGACCTTTATCATGAAGGGATGTTGGATTTTGTCAAAGGCTTTTTCAGCATCTAGTGAGATGATCATGTGATTTTTTTCCTCAGTCTGTTTAGATGGTCAATTACATTGATGGATTTTCCTATGTTGAACCATCCTTGCATCCCTGGGATGAAGCCTACTTGATCGGGATGGATGATTTCTCTGATGTGTTCTTGGATTTGATTTGCCAATATTTTATTGAGAATTTTTTGTCAATGTTCATGAGGGATATTGGTCTGTAGGGCAGTTGGAGGCAGAGCTGTCACTGGGCCTCGGGGTGTTGGATCCTGCTGCCGAACTCTGTATGGTCACTTGTGTCAGATGACTCTGAGCAGCAACGACGAACCAGAACTGGAAACAGTTCCTGGCCTACCTGGGCCGGCAGATGTAGGCCGGGCTGCCTCTGGGGGCTGCTTCTGGGTGTTCGGTGTTCATAACCCGCCACCGCCGAACTGGGTCCAGCAGGCAGGTTACTTGCGTCAGATGACTCTCCACAGGTGACTTTTATAACCAAGTTTTCTCTTTAGTGACTGGAGTTTGTTTTTTTTTTTTTTTAATAATAATTTGTTAGTTAGGTGAATGTGACCATGATACATGATGTATATGTAATAGTAAACAGAAATGCTAGAAATATTGGTCAAACTGTTGTAGGCTAATTGGCCACTTTGTGAAATGGTAACTCATAAAGTTGGGAAATTTAAAATTTTTTTTGCACTTCTCTCTTATATATGCTATTTTCAGGCAGAGAAAAACTGAGTATATACTGTTGTAGCCTCTGTCTCCCACTTCTATTAAGTCTTGAATGAAATGTAATTGTATTCTTGTTGGGGAACAGGTAAAGACATATATTTGTCAACTCTATTCACTTCATGTAGTCCAAGCAGATAAAGGTTACTTTTGATAATAGTATTTCATTATTTAACAAAAAGATGGCTATACTCTAGATGTCAAAATAAAGTTTATTTCTATTTTTTTCTACTGTCATTTCCTATTGTTCTTCATCTACAGGTTCAACCTAATTTTCTTCCAGTGAAAGAGTGGGTTTCCATGGTGCTTAATACTCTCCTGGTCATTGTGGATAGCCATTACCGCCCCAGAGGACAGCTCTTTTCCTGCTTTTATCATGTAAGTGCAAGACATATAAATGACCAGAATCACCAAGGGTTAACTCTCCTGACAGCCATTGTTTACACGAAAACTATGATACAGTACAATAGTTTCCAGCTCTTAAGTATAGACTAGAGGTGTGTGTGTGTGTGTGTGTGTGTGTGTGTGTGTGTGTGTGTGTGTGTGTGTAAAGACTAGTATGTAGGCCCTGTGGTTTGATCAAACTGATTTAGGATGTGCCCCAGGTTCTAGCAGTATGAAAGCTCTTGAGCCTTTTCTGATGTGTAGTCAGGGTCAAGGGTTTATAGTTGTGGGATAAGTGGTTTTTTGAATACATTTGGTCTTTTTTGTCCTTATTTATAAAATGACAAGAATAGCAGCATCCTCTGTAATGACTAAAGCCTTTGTGCCACCCCTTAGTTTTGTGACTATTGACTTGGCAGTTTACCATTATCATTCATTTTCGTTGTAAAATAAAAGTAAAAAATCCTTTGCTGTGCTTTTCTGCCTCCCCAAAGATTGGGAAGGTGAAATGATTTAAGTAAAAGTGTTGTATTTTGGAAACAGTAAAATTCTTTGTAAATGCCAAATAATCCCGCTGATCATGTGAAAAATGACTGCTCGTCTCCTGTCTTCACGGCGGTGTTCTAACAACTTAAACAACAGGAAATGCACATCTTGTTTTCTAATGTTCCCTTTTGGCTTGGAGAATCACTTTACTTCTGCAATGGTGTAGAGTTATTTTGGTTTTGTCCTATCAGTATCCATTGCTTAAGGAATTACAGAGATCATGGGACAGTCAGTTGAGTGGCTGAGGATTGCGGTTATTTGAAGAAAATGTAGCATGGATCCTGAACTATAGCTGAGATTACACAATCCATTGCCTGTGGTCCTCTCTGTAAATACTCTATTCCCTTCCCCTTGCCCTTGGGAGGACTGGGTATGTATTGTTGCTGGCCTTAGGTTCCAATGTTAGGTTTAAAAATAACTTGATAGGTAATGCAGAGTTGAGTTGGAAGTCAGGTTTTGTTCCAAGAAGTCATCTTTTAGTGCTGGCTTACTTGACTGGTTTTGAAATTTGTACAGTAGCTAGATCAGACATTCACCAGAATAAGCGATTGTGTGAGATTTCTAATCATTCTGCTTAGTTCTTAGGAACCAATAAGACAGTCTCTTTATTTAGCCAGTTCAGAGTCAACTCTTACCTTTTTATTCTTTTTACAAAATTATTCAGTTTTAAGAACTATTTCAAAAGTCACTTCCTTTATTTCCTGTGTCCTAGAAGCTGAATCCTTTTAAGTAACTTAGTCATTGGAAAACCTTATATTACCTTTGAGTATAATGTCCTACATGTTTGATTTTTTATCCTTAAAGTACTAACGCTTGGCGAGCAAATAGACATGGAATTCAAACACACTGTGGCATGCTTTGACTGCCAGGGACAATGCCGGCTTTAAGGCACGTCTGAAAATTTAAAACGGACAATAGCAAGGGGTGATAAAGGGGCTTTCCTCTCTACTTGAGACACATTTGTAAACGTGTAGCATGTGTGATGGAGTGCTCTAACGTGGGACTCTTGCAGATACTGTTCATGTTCAGAGGACCTGTCATTTTATTAGGACCATTATTCATTTTTCTTCCCATAATTGCATATTGGGAGGCACATGTAGAGCCCTCCATTTCCTTTTGAATAGCTGGTTATTGCTTTTAACCAGAAGCTTTTAGAGTTTCAACTTCCCTCTTAATTAAAAGGAATTAACCCCCTGTAGGATATAATCCATCTATTGGGTTGTGTTCCCACCAAAACATTTTGGGAGATGTGCCAATAGATCCTTGTGCTAAACTTCCACCTGTTTCTCTGTAGTAAACAAAATCCTGTCTGCCTCCCATTCTTTCTTTTCTGGCCAAGTCCTAGCTTGTTGGACAGTTGTAGTGTGGCTTGTCTAAGTTCAGACAGCCTTACTTTTGGCTTTCCCTATAATATGCATGCAGGCTTTTAAAAACATCAAAACTCTTTGAGTTTATATAGTGAGAGAGTCCACAACTTCTAAATATGGACACTTAGAATTCTGTTTCTGAAATTTAAAAGGACATTATTGATTTTATTTGGTAGTAGATGGGTTCATTGACTGAAATCAGAGTATGAAGCAAACACATTTAGATTCTCTTTTTAGTCTGTGGGTCAGGTGTCAGAGAAACTAGTATTTCTGTAGTGTTCATGTGATAGGTATTTTAAACAAGAGGCTAACCCCTGCTTTCTTTCTTTGGCATGTCGTAGAAGTCCTATTCTGGTGAGAACACGGCAAGCGCTATCGCACGCTCTGCTGCTGCCACAGCTTTGTCTCTCCTTGTGCCGGTTTTCATTATCTCTTGCAAAGAGAAGGTTGAGGAAATCCTGAACATGCTGACTGCCAGGTTACCTGGGAAACCAAGTGCTGATGAATCTCAAGCCGTGCAAATCCACATGGGCCTTGCTTTGGGGATGTTTCTGTCTCGCTTGTGTGAAGAGAAACTCAGGTACAGTTGATTGAAGTATTCCTGGGTTTCCTCTTGGTGATTTAGGTGATGGGAATGTATGCGTGCTGGTTCCTAAACATTGTATCTGAGCAGTATTTTCTTCTTAAACTTTTTTGAGATGGTTGATTATTTATTCTCTTATTTGGGTGAATTTTTTGCTGCCTAAAATACCATCATGTAGATATTGAAAACCATCTCAGGCTAAGATAGAAGCTCTAAGTATATATTTATAATTAATAGGCATGAAAAAAAGTCTTAGAGTGTTGTAAGTAAAGAAAAATTTGTTCCCTATCTTTTTCATTGTTGATCATTTATTGACATCTCCATAAATCTGGAAGAAACAACTGGGGAGTCCCATGCAGCAGAGGGGTGCTGAGAATCACTGAATCACCTGAGAACTGCATGTACCCAACTTTAAAATGCTGCTTTTGTCCTGTGCCCTGGCTACATTTAATAATCTCTAAAGAGTCCTAATCTGTGCATATTATACTGTATGCTTTATTCAGTTTGATTGCTCATTTTTAGGCTGCTAGTATTACCAGTGAATGGAGCAAATGGAATATCAAAGACCCAGGTGGAAAATTCCACTAGGCAGGCGAGTTTTCCTACACATCAGTTAATCTATTTTAGTTTTGTTCATACTTCTTTTTCACCTGTATTTTACATTAAACAATAGAGCTTTATGCATCCAAGTTGATTGTAGCATAGTCTAACATGAATATCTGGTTACCATAAGTATTTAATGGTAATGACTTAGACTTCAGCCCCATCTTCCTGCACTGGAAATAGGATATAGGGAGAAACATCTACCTGTGATGTTACATGTCCCTGTACTTCCTGGTTGGTAACAATCAGTGGTCCAAAAGCGAACACTGGTGTTGGTGTGGATAAACTAGATGGTGTTATACAGTATCCATAGTGTTTGAAACTAGAGGTTAAGTTAGTGTTCGTAATTTCTGTACCTTGAACAAACATTATTGTGGTTTCTTTTGGGGAGGGTATTACTATTGCTCTTGGGTGTGGATATTTCAAGGGGATATCTGGCAGATAAGTGGAGTGACTGGCAAAATATCTGCAAATGAAAATGAAACATGCCCAGAATGTTCATACAGGCCAGCTCTAGATATGAACAAAGAACCTGCCCTTTGCATGGGAATCAACTCTTCTATTCCTCATGTGTCTGATAGAACATACAGTGTTCTCTAAAGGCTTAAGACTTTGAAGTGATTTTCCCCTTTGCTGTTGTGCTACAAATAGTGCTCTCCTCACCATCTGTGTTCAGGCTCTTTCTTGTGTGTTTTCAAGCAGCATGTTTTCACATCTGAGACTGAGCCCTGACTGTTCAATTCTAGGTAACTCACTTCATCCCATTCTGGCTGTGGCTCATTTCTTCATTAACTTGGGATAAGGTGCTGCACTGGCTTTATAACTGTCAGGTTTGCATTGGGGGTAAATTTAACCATGCTGCCTGGAAAATCCCATGGAGAACCATACATGCACTCTTAACCCTCATTCCCAGGTTGTCTTCCATCCCTGTGTCTCTTACTTGAATCTGTACCTGCAGAATCCTGGGAAAGGACACCAAGAAGCTCATCCATGGCTGAATCACTTGGAATACTAGTAGATTGTATGTTTGATCGTTTTGGTTTTTAAGACAGGGTCTCTCTATGCAGCCTTGCCTGTTCTGGATTCTATATGTAGACCAGGTTGGCTTCACAATCAGAGATCTGCCTGCCTCTACCTCCTGAGTGCTGAGATTAAAGGTGTGTACCACCATGCCTGGCCCTGAGTACCTGTAGATTTTTAACTTTGCCCAATAGCATCCTTTTCTTGGGACCTGTGTCTTGGTAGTGTAGTCACCAACATGTAATTATTCCTATTTCCTTCTTGCTCATTTGTTTTAGAGCAGAGAAATCAGAAATAGTTACCTTTTTATACCAATTGGTGTTTTACTTAGTAATTACAATGTTACCTTTCCAGACTATTTTTTGTTTGTTTTGTAAAACCAATGTTAGAGGATGGAGAGATGGCTCAGTGGTTGCGACTTTCAGAAGGACCTGAGTTTAGTGCCCAGTACCTTGTTGGATAGCTTACAACAACTATCTGTAACTCTAGCTCCAGGGATTCTAGTACCCTCTCCTGGTTTGTAAGGAGGCCTGTACTCATGTCCCTTGTACACAGGCACCGTACATAGACACAAATTAAAATAAAATGAATCTCAGAAATACAATTTAAGATAGGGACTAGAGAGATAACTCAGTGGTTAAGAGCACTGGGTGCTCTCCCAGAGGGCTGGAGTTTGATTGCCAGCACCCACATGACAGCTCAAAAACCATCTCTAAGTCCAGTACCAGGGCATCCAATGCCATTTTCTGGGTATCAGGCACATACATGGTGCACAGACAGACATGCAGGCTAAATACTGATGAGTAAAATAAAATTAAAATAATTTAAAATAAAGCTAAGTATCAAGGGAGATACTGGCTTGAAACCAAGGTAGTAGTATCACGTACCCGTAAGAGGACAGATGTCATCAGCCCACTGTTCTCAGAGTAGATTCTCCCTCCTAGAAGAGAGAGACTCATTACAGTCAATATGCCTTATGATTCTCCTGAATTTGAATTCCAAACTGAGATTTATTCAGGAAGATACATTATACCAAGCTTCTTGCCTCCAGCATAACCTCTAAAGCTGCTGCGACTCTTTAATACAGTTCCTCATGTTGTGGTGACCCCCACCATAAAATTATTTTGTGCTACTTCATAACTGTAATTTTGCTACTACTAGGAATCATAATATAAATATCTGATATGCAAGATATCTGCTGTGTGACTCCAAAGGGGTCATGACTCACATGTTGAGAACTGTTGCTCTAGAGGCTCTAAGTATGATCTCAGTAGTATATATTGAAAGTCTTTTATTATAGTTTATTTCTAAGACTAACTCTGAAGGTATTTGTTCATTTACTGCCTCTCACCTTGTGTGTGTGTGTGCATTTTTGCATGCGTGCGTGCGTGCCTGCCTGCCTGCCTGCCTGCCTGTCTGTCTGTCTGCCTGCCCAGGCTTCTCTCATGTCGCAGTATAATCCATGTTTGCAAGCACTGCTTTCAAAGCTGTTATTGAAAGTGCTGTCTGGCTGCCTGGTATTCTTGGATTGTTCCATGCAGCATGGTGTGAGGAGTGAGAGAAGGAGCTCAGCCCTGGGGACCCTAAGTAATAAAGCATGAGTAAAGAAGCCCACAGCTTTGCTTGAGGAAAGAGCCAGAGGGCCCGACTAAGCTTTCTTTTACTATCCAGTCTTACTTCTCACTAAGACAATTATAAAGCCAATTGTTATACAGGAGCAGAAAAATATAGAGCTAGGGAATTTTCCCCTTAAAAACTATATGATTAATGGAATAAGGCTAACTGACAACCCATACAACTGAGACATGAAATCACATGTCCCTCCTAAGAGAAATTTGGGATGATTGATAACTGTATCCGTAGTTTCATTAAATTTTTACAAAAGCACCACTTTTACATTCTTTGAAATTTTGCTCTTCAGTGACTTAAAATTTAAATAAGGAGAAGAAATTCAAAGGAAGTTTTAGGCCGTATTGTTTGTAAGTGTTTACACTCTTCAAAAACCTAATTACTGGATAATTTTTCTTAGTTCCCCTTTCTACAGAATGAGCATATGTGAGTCACCAATATTGTTACTACCTTTTTATGTATAAAGAAATGCTGATATTTCCAGTAGATATTGACAGAAAAAGACTTTCTTTGTAACACTTTGGCTTTTTATTAGCATGTATTTATTTGTGTATATGTGTGTGGGTGTGTGTGTGTGTGCATGCTATGTGCACCTCAGAGGACAACTTGTGGGAGTCCTTTGGCTCCTTCCACAATGCCGGTTCTGTGATCAGCAGGCTCTGTGAACATGCTAGACAAGCATTCTTAGCCGTTAGGCCATCTCTCTGGACTAAAATGCATTTTGTTTGTTTTGTGGTATTGGGGATCAGATCCAGTCTTGTGCACACTAGGCAAGCATTCTGCCACTGAGCCTCACACTCCCAGATATGTCATGTACTTTGAAGAGTTGAGTGATTAGTAATAGTCCATTACCCCTGTCTCCTTCTCTAGTGACATGTCCGGCCAGCAGATGAACCTTCTTCTGATGAAGTCTTTGGATGCCCTGGAAAACTGCTGTTTTGATCCCAGTCTTGAACACAAGTATGTTGATTCTGTTCATAATCAGTGCTTAGAGATTGTTTGCTACTCGAAACAAGCCTTTACTGCTCTGGTGAAGTGTTCGCAGGATCTGATCTTGGATTCCTTTGCAGAGAGTGTTTAGTGATCGCTGGAAAGAATCTTGCACTGAAGACTTCTTGGTTCTAAAACCATGTCACTGGTGGATGGCTTGCTTAAATGAAGAGCAGGGGTGCTATTTTATAGCTTAATCCTCCTACTAACAAACTCCAGTTTTGTTTTGTACTTGTTCATGAGGCATGGATCTGGTGAGCAGGATTCCTCACTTAACTTCTTCAAGATTAGCTGAAATTATTTCAACAGGAGTGGGCAAAGAGAGCTTCTGATGATTTGAATTTCCCTGTAAAACCATGGTCTGAGGAATAAAATGGAAAGGCCCATTTATTATATTGGAGTTCACAATCTGTAATGAACCTTCCTCCACCCCCCCATTTGAACCTCATGCTTTTTAAAGAGTTTTTTCTAAACTAAATACCTTAAATTTTATGGTTTCATTCTAATATTGAAAATAATAAAAATGAAAATAATCATAAAAGAATAAGAATGTAAAAACTGTTGAACATACTGTTAGACGTCTAATCACTAATCTATTGGTGAATAATATGGTTTGATTAGGCTTTGTGGAATATTCTCAAGAATAGTTTGTACCTTTTTTGATTTCTCTGTTTTGGAATCTCAGTGATGACAGTTGGGGTATTCACCAATCTGATGGGGGGGGGTAGGAGGAGGGTTGACAGGGAGAACTGTGGTTGGAATGTAAAATGAAGTAATTAGATTAGAAGTAATAGTTGAACCCTTGTCTGTTATGCATCTATACCATCTAGCTTGTCAGGCTCAGAGTAACAAAGAATAGGTAAAGTAGTGAAGTAGCTATATAAGGGAAAGCTTATGGAGGATTTCTACCACAAATAAAGCTAGTCTCTGTAGTAGGTGGCAGTAATGAGATTTTGTCTATATGTAGGGTAAATCAAGAGATCTTTCAGGATCTTGTGACATCTTTAGTGTATGGTGTGAATATAGGAAGGAGTTTGATGGTACCTTTGGGGTCTTCTGAATATAGAAAATGATTAACAAGAGAAATAAGAGTATGGTTATTATTTGAATCAAATGACAGATTGAGATTTTGAGTCTAATACATGTGTTGCTATTGTTGTCTTAATAACCAACAGGTAAGAAACCCACCGCCAACCGTTTCTTTCTTCTTTTACCCATTCTCCCAAGACACTCTCCATAGCCTTGGGTCAGGATATTAGAATGTTGTGGAAAAGTGTACAGTTCAAACACTGCAAGGTCTTAACCAACTGGGACAGTGGAGTAAGCTCACATATTGTTCTTCACTTCCAGGGAAATGCGTTTTAATGTCGGGAAAACTGGGGCTGACCAAATCTCTGTGGAATAGGTGTTTATGTGCTTAAAGGTGTCACGTCTAAGTATATTTAGCTTTAAATTTTATTTTTTTGTGTGTGATTGATAAGATTCTCATTTCCGCTTCTTATCTTCTCTCTTAATTCTTACCTTCATAGTAAAGAGCAGTATGTAAGAGTCGGCCTGGCCAAGGCCGTTAGAGGAATGTAGAACAGGACTGTGTGAAATACCTTCTCATTGGGTCCATCAGAGCCCAGTTAAAGGTCCTAGCTTCTAAGCATCCTGCCCCTTCCCTATCCAAACTTCAGTATTCCTACCATCAGTGGTGCTCAGTATTTCCTCATTCTGGGGCTTCCTGGGTGTCAGCCCAGAATGAAGTTCTTTCTTGGTCTCAGGTTCCTCTGGAACTTGTTGAGCAGGTGCATTTTCATATCTGCATCTCAGGTACTTCAGTCCTAATCACAACCGAGAGAGAGCGCTAGGCAAGACTCTTCATCAGTTTGCTGTATGAAGAAAGCAAATCTCTGAGCTAACACTTTTCCAAATCACATGCTCAGTTCCATGGAGACTCCACAGCTGTCCATCCAGAGTTCATGAGTTTTCACAAGCTTGGTTCAGCCATCTCTGTAGATTTCTCCATCATGATCTTGACCTCCCTTTGCTAATATATTCCCTCCTCCCTCTCTTCAGCTGGGTTCCCTGAGCTCAGCCTGGTGCTTGGTTATGGATCTCTGCATCTGTTTCTATCAATCACTGGATGAAGGCTCTATGATGACAGTTGGGGTATTCACCAATCTGATGGGGGGGGTAGGAGGAGGGTTGACAGGGAGAACTGTGGTTGGAATGTAAAATGAAATTTAAACAAACAAACAAATAATAAATAAGTAAATGCAAAAAGCCACATGCTTTATAGATGGCAGAATTAAGAAATAGGCCTAGGACCTCTGAATTTAAAACCATTTTTCTTTGTCTTATGTAGTACAGTGTGGAGAACACGGTTCTATGAGAAGAAAACAATTTGATACTTGGAATTATGGCATTGTTATATTATTAACATGCAGATGTTGCCCACTATCACTTGGCCCAGCCTTAATAATGCCTGGCATATTGCATAAAGTATTCCTCTGTCTAAAGAAATTGCCAGAGTTTAGGGCAACTCCCCCCCCCCCCCCCCCCCCCCCAGGAGCAGATGAGAGGTGGTTAGTAGATGATCCAGGAGTGTGCTGCCTCAAGTGATAGAATTCTGCCAGAGCAAATTCACCATGCTTCCCTGATTCAATGGCTGAGTCCCTGCTGAGTGAAAGGAAACACCTGGGCCTGGGTGTCTGGTCGTATTGCTAACATTTTGCTGCCACCTAGTGGTCATCTTTTTGCCATTGCAGTCCTGACAGCCCTAATTGTGGTCATGTTATCCATCAATGACCTGAGCTTTGGTTAATTACTATTGAGCTGTTACAAATACAATAACATTTAAATTGTGCTTTGTAAAGGGCAAAGTGCTATACAAATGTTAACTGTTATTCAAACTAATTATTATATGGCTTGTACCTAATCTGTAGGATTGCTAACAATAAGCTAGGCAATTCAAGATTCATCTGTGGTTATCTTAGAAAAGTATTACTGTTATATATCAGTTGATATGACAACATGAACATCAAAATTGGGTATTCTTTTATGATTTATTTTGATGGTGATCTTTTAATATACTGTGATAAGACGCGCGAGTGTGTGTGTGTGTGTGTGTGTGTGTGTGTGTGTGTGTGTGAGCATGCACCTAGTCCATGAACACACACTGGGAGTCTTCATTATTGCTCAGGATAGGGCCTCTCAGTACACTTGGCTGAAATGGCTTGTCAGCATGTTACTAGATTCTGACTGTCTCTTCCAAGCTCATGTGATCATTACCAGCTTTGACGTCGGTGCTGGCATTAGACATCATGATTGCATAGCAAACACTTTTATCCACTGGGCCATCTCTCCAGCCTGTACATAGAGCCTTGGAATTAAAATTCTCGTTAACATTTTTTGGATTCCTATAGATATTTATGCTAGCAATTCCATAAGCACAATTGAATATATAATGATATAATTTGTTTTTATTTTAGCTGTTGGAGGCCCCAACCCTTAATTCCTTTTTGTTTTCAATGGGCAGAATACATGAAAGGTCCCTCTGCCCAAGTCATTTGTGGTTTAGAGCTGGCAGCCATATCCAGATGATTCTAGAGGGAATTATATGGGTGGAAATGATGAGTTAATCATTTGAGTAGTTTTTAAGACTTAGGACCTTAATGTGCAGAAGATTTGAGATGAAAGGAATAAAGCTTTAGTAATATTTTCTAGGTGCATACTAAAAATCGAAGTGAAAAACCAAGAAACCTTTTAAAAGGCCAATGGGTTATTTGATTCATAAGAGGAACGCTAAAACTCAAGATAGGAGCTAAGGGTATCTAACTTATTAAGGATATGCAGCATATTTATATCGACATGCACACACAGAGTTATATTATATATTCATAGGATGTGACAGGCAGGTAACATTGCAGCCCTGATAGAGTTGTAACCATGCCTTGGAACTCTGGCCTAGAAAGTCACACGTCTCCTTTAAACCTTTATGCCTATGTCCCTCGAGGTGCTGGAGAAGAACTTCAGCCCAGGATAGCTTGAAAAGCAGACTCTACAAAATGGCTTATTCACTGAGAACAACAAACCTCAATTTTTACTTGAGCTTTGGGAGAAATAATCTAGCCACACAAATACAATAGCCATATTTCTTCAGTTAGTTTGGCAAGAAACAGAAATTGAGTTTTCCTGATTGAATCTTATATAATATGTTCAGTTTTGCTTCCAACTAAACATAGGCATCAGGGTCTGTGCACATGTGTGTGAATATGCACGTGTGTTTTGCACCCCCCCCCCATTTTCTGTATGTATTCTGTACACCCAACAATTATAAAACCCACTCAGCCAATTAATTCTTCAGCATTCAGCAAGTTCTAGACTAGTGTTTCCAGTTGAATACCATAGGCTGAAGATACTGTATTGAGGGGAAAAAAAGATATCCACTCTCACAGAACTTTGAAATTAGAGAAGAAATAATCTCCCAAATAATTTATAATTAAAATTGTAGGACATAACTTAACACAGGGTTTTGGAACAGGGTTCCAAAGAGGAACCATTTGAAATCTGAAGGAGTAATAGCAAATACCTAGTCAAAGAGAGAGCAATGGGCTAAGTTCAAAATACGAATCAAATGTGTCTAATTGTACCTTTGTTTTTCATGTGTCAGAATGGAAGGATAGCTAAAGCCTTTCCCTGTAGATTCCTAATTAAAATAAAAACTTTAAATCCATGCTAATCAAGAGTAGCCTTCCTTAAGAAATGGTCTCAGAGCATTCAGTCCTGGGGTGCCAGGGTGCTAGGTGTTGGTTTTGGTTGATGGGAAAAGCATTAGCTGTTGAGCTTGTTAGGCTCATGTGAGCTGGAACAGAAATCCTGCCTGCCTGCCAGAAGTGGGATGAGTTAGTTTCTCCACTTAGGACTTCGTTGTGTTGCTTGTTATTAACAGAAACTAGAAAAACAGTAAGTTGTCTTCTTGTGGGTGTCATGACATCATGCAGGGCCTAAGGGGAGCCTTGGGCATGGCAGATGGAGTTGAAGGCTGGGGACTGAAGTCCCCTCTTTGTGGTGGAACTCTTCTGAAAGCTTCCTGTGTAATCTTGAGCACGTGTCTAAGCTTGTCTCTCCCTCCATGCATCTACTATCAGGTGTGGATACTGTTTACACAGAACTGTTTGGGGGCATGCTACTTGAGTGTTCACAGGAAGGTTCTTGGTGCCAGCCAAAGGCATAGACATCATGTAAGAGAAGAATTGCTTTCCATATGGATATTGGAGAAAAGCCCTAGAAGCCTGCTGCAGCTGTGGATATTATGTATGACTCCAGGGTTGTTAAACCCACACCAGCATGTTTTCTGAAATGCTCAGCATTACCTCCAGTTAAAAAGCAACAGGAATGAGAAAAACTTTTAAAAGGTGCACTGTGTTATACTAACTTCAAGTTTCTTGATACCAATTCTTTTCTTTAAATGGTATGTGTCCTTTCAGGGGACTGGGACAAAGCCCCAGATTCCAATTGAATTGTCACAAGGGGTAACTTTTGACAAGCCTGTCATTTGTCGGTTTTCTCTTCTGACCCAGTGGTGCTCTGAGAGACCAGAGGGGAAAGGAGGATTATTGTCATTGTGCACAGATGAATACACAGTCACTTTAAGAAAGAGATTCCACTTGTTGGAGTTGACTGGGAAACACAAGCCCTCAACACCCCTGCGCCTTACACTGCTCCCATGCATAACCAGAGCTCCTCAGTGCCCACCTTGGAATTTAGCCCGTCTCTTCTCCTTGTGCAGATAAACCATAGTGTAGCAGCACAAGCCAGAGGGAAGGATTGTGGCATTTCTGTGCAGACAGAAATTGAGTTGTTTAAGAAGTCAAGCTCTGTGGTTTTCTTTGTTTTTTTGTCCAGGGGAATAGCTGACGTTTGGTTGCTGGTGCTGATGGTGTGTGTATGGGGAGAACCTCTCTCTCTCTCTCTCTCTCTCTCTCTCTCTCTCTCTGTGTGTGTGTGTGTGTGTGTGTGAGAGAGAGAGAGAGAGAGAGAGAGAGAGATTGATTACATGTGTGCATGCACCTGTATATGCCTCTTTTTTAAAGCCTGTGCTGGTGATTGAAACTAGAGCCTCAGGCATGTAAGTCAGGTGCATTACTAATGAGCTACAGCCCCAACCCTGCTGCATATTTGTCTTGATATAAACTTTTCTTTTTGTGAAGAGAGTTCAGGGGTACATTTCAGAAGTCACAGAGAGCTTCAAACCAGGTAGAAATAGAACCTTGCCATCTCACTTCAGCTGCAGAACACTGTGAGCTCCTGCATGGGGTGGAGCAGTTATATTGTGTGTGACTCTGACACTGTCTCTTTTGGCATCCAAGCACCGGCTGTGTATTGGGAGTTGGACTTGCCCTGTCCCTCATGAGCCACAGCAGCCACATGGAGTCACGAGTTCATGTGGCGGCATCTCTACGGAAGCTGTCTACCTACCTAGATGACAGTGGGAGCCAGAGCAGGACGTTTCAGGAGGTAGGATGTGGGGGTCCATTTTGCCTTGCTCTGCTGTCTTCTGCTTTCTTGTTGTTGCCACTTTCTTCGCCTAGGAGTTTAGTAACCCTCTAACTGAAATTTCCAGTTACAGCTGCAAATAAGGAGAAAATCTGAGTGGCAAGCCGCCTATACTATACCACGAGGTCTCCAAGTTGTACTTAGACTTAAATGTGGCCTGGGAGATAAGAACCATTAGAGAATACAGAAACCCCAGGCAATGTCACTACCAGCATTCCCAAGAATGGCAGCTTGTGAAGTTTAAATCGAGGCTTTCCAGAATTGTCCTCACATGAAATGTATCTTTTAAAAACAAGTCAGAAACAAGCTTAAGAAACCACAAATAAGTGCCCACTGATATGACAAATTATTGAGCAAATCCCCTTTATCATATTTGGTGAAAAGTTTTGTTTTGTTTTTTTTTTTCCTCTACCCTGGTGTGGCAGAAAACTATGCAGAGTTTGTATGACAGTATTGACATGTGTGACCCATGTTTAGCTGGGATGCTTTAGGCATGTGTCATATCTTCTCTGTTGTGCTTAGGTAAAGCTGAACTGCTTACTCCCACCTTTGGGAGGGGCAGGGATGACCTTGTGGCCAGCCAGGCTGGAGTCTCCCTCTCATTAGAGTAGATTCTGTTTTCTCCCAGCCTGCCCACAAGCTATTGATGGGCACATAATGGCTGTTGTGTTTCCCTGCTCGGCTCCTCTGCTTTTAGCAATGGGACTTGTTGAATTAGGGAATTTCTTTGTGGTACAGAGGCTTGAAGTTTTGTTCTAGGTATGCACTGCATTTTTATTTTTAAAGTAGTATGGAGCATGAGATATAGATAAATAGATAGAGAGAGAGAGCGTGTGTGTCAAAGAAGAAAGAACAATTTGATTGATCAATGAAGACAAGGTTATTTTAACAGATGCTTTTGTCTGCTGTGATGATTTGATTAAGAAGTCCTTCAGTAAGTAGTTTTGCCCCTCCTCAGATGTTTTATATCTGTCTTCTTCTTTGGAAGCTGCTTGTATTTTTATACATCAACCAGCACTGGGAATTTTACTTTCTTCCTAATCTGAACAGCATTATAAGAAAGGGTTTGGCAATGACCATGGGAGGTACAGGAAGAGGTTAACTGACTTTCTCAAACTTACTGACATGCAGATATAAGTTTGGAAGACTCTCAAGTATTGTCTCTGCTCCTGTTGACAATTTTTATTTGTTTATTTGTTCCTATACTCATTTGTTTACTTACTAAATTTTCACACCTATACAATGACAACTGCAAATAATAATAATAATAATAATAATAATAATATAAAAAAGCAAGCTCTCTCAGTTTCACACAATGTATCTAACTCCCAAGCCTGCACTCCTGTTCACTGATGCTCTCAGTGCCTTCTAGGGAATGGAAGCACAGCTGTGTTCCACATCTTTACTGTCCTCTCCTGTGAGTCTGGGGTGGAGCACATGGTACTTTTTAGCTGGTAAAGCTCTACTTCCTTATGTTGTTGATGCTGCTGTGTGTTGACATGGAGCTTCGAGGCAGCTTTGGTCTAGAGGCTAAAGACCCACATTTGAATTCTGGTTTTGTCTCAACTGTTTGCATTTGAGCCTCCCAACCCTACCTAAGATGATACCCATCTTGACCCTGTTATGAAACAATATAAATCAGACAGCAAACTGGTACCCAGTCTGGGGTATCTGTCTCTAAATCTGGTTCATCTGGGCAATTTGACAGATGAGCCATAGCACCTAAGCCAAGGTCTTTGATTTTGCCTGTGAGCAAACATTTCTTCTGCTGTGTTTTCTTTTTAGGTCCTCGCCTACACACTTAGCTGTGTGTGCACATCAGCCTTCAGTGCTGGCATTATTGAGGCTGTGGAGGCTGAAGATATTATGAACAAGCTTCAGCTGTTGGTAGAGAACAACCAGCAGGTTGGAACCTGTGCCCTGATGATTTCTCTCCCTGAGTTTCATTTTGCTGTTGCATGCTGCCTTCTAAGTACTCAGACTGGGATGGACTCCATTGCATGTAGAATTGGAGAAAAAATCTGATAACTCTTTGCTGTCACCATCGTGGCCAGCAGCCCCCTGTCACCAGATGCTATTCTCATGTTTTCTTTCTCAGTTTCTGTGGACATTTGCATGAGAATGTAATGATTGGCTTTAGATGTTGAGATAGGGTCTAGCTCTGGCTGAACTAGAACTCAATATGTAGATCAGACTAGCCTCAAACTCATAGAGATCTGCTTGCCTCTGTCTTTCCAGTGCTGGAATTAAAGGTGTGCACCACCAGATGCAGCTGTTTTTAATTTTTAATTTTTAATTTAATAGTGTTTTTAATTTTTCTCTTTCTCAAATCATTACTCTATATTCATGAAATCTTAAAATATGTGGCTAGAATAAAATGCAGGAAAAGCAAGGAACTGTATTGAAGGGAAGGAATTTAAATTTGTTAGAGACACAGAAGATAACAACAAAAAATTCATCAAGTTATGAATGCTTATAGGATTCTGATAAGTCAAACTTTGGCAAATTCCAGACAGATAATCTCTATTCATAACTGAGTTTGTACAGGGAAGTTCAAATACTTTAAAATTGTGCTTAAAATGATTGCTCTTAAGTACTACTCAGTCTTTAAAAAGGAAGCTCTAACATGCGCTGTGTTCTGGATGAATCTTAAGTGTATAATACTAAGTTATATGAGCTAATCACAAGAAGATGTTACCCAGTTTGGCTTGTGTGAGACACTTAGGTGTCTATCTCCTTAGAGTCAAATCACAGGGACAGGAAGTGGATGGGCAGTTGTCCTTCAGATAGGGTGTGGGAAGGTTTAATAGCAGAGATTTTATTTTTTCAAGGTGAAAATAGTGTTGCAGATTGTTGTACACAACTGTGGGTGTACTTGATGCCAGTGAACTGCTATCCATGCTTAAGACAATGAGAAAGAATTCTAATTGCACATGTCATGCATTCCCCCAGCATGACTCTTTAAAAAAGGTTTCTCCACATTTTAGTGCTGGCCTTTGCGAATTATTGCAGGAACCACTGATCTTTACTTATGGTGACATTGTTACTGTTCTGTGATTCTATCTGTGATTACATGTTCAGAATATGCTTTGCAATAACACATTCAAAAGTGTTCACATGCTGCATTTGTTGTGGCATGCTTTCCTGCTTAGGAGGTGATTTTGACCTTGGGTGATAAACCTTGGGCTTTTCACCCATACCTTGTTCTGAGAATTTAGAGTATCAATTGACAGTACAGAATTATTCTCCTAAGATAAACTACCCACAGCAGCAGAATTCCTTACAGTAAGACTCAGTTTCCAAAGTCCACATCAAACTTAGTGAAAGGAACCCTAGAAATTATTGTTTTGCTCTGTGTATGATAAATGTTCTATATAAATCCTTATCTATAGCTTCCCCCCCCCATCCCTGTTTTTATTTGTACCAGACTTCAGGCTTTACACTGGCATTAGGAAATCTGGTTCATGGTCTGTCTGTGTGTGGACATGGAAAAGCTGAAGACTTGGGCAACAGACTCCTCCCCAACTGGATTAAAGTTGTCCTGACAGAGGTAAAAGTATGCTATTATATTCATGCTATTGTATTTATATAAAGGAAAAGGACTGATTTATTGGATTCCTTATAGGAACTGCTAAGATATATAGCTTAACAGTAATTCAACAGGTAATTCAAGCGAAAGAGACTTGTATACCTTGAGCCCCTTCTAAGTAGTGCAATCTGTCGACCATTACAGGTTGTTTTAGTTTTTAAAAGCTGGCTACTTGATAGTGCTTTAACTTTTAAAACAATGTTATGGCTTTCTGGGAAAATAGAAATAGTAAGAAGCCACCTATGATTTAACAGCCATCTATGATTTAACAAATGTATTCCTTTGTTTTAGTCTGTTGTACTTGAGGGTCATTTATCAATTGTTAATTGTATTGATCCTATGCATGTATTATAATTTTAGTCACTGAACTTGCTGTGCAGCAAATAACATAGATTTCAAACCCAAGGAGTATTTTGCTGTTGACTGTTTTGATTCTTGGTTTTCAGGGAGCCTCCACCATGCTCTGTCTGGCAGCCCTTCATGGTCTGGTGGCACTGGTAGGCGCAGATGCAGATGTCATGCAGGTAAAGCCAGGAACTCTGAAGGGAAGGAATTTGAATAAGTACATAGCCATAGCAACAGTAGAATGGCATTAGCTTAATATCCCTGGGGAAGAGGAGTATGTACTCATGGTAATGGTTACTCTGGGGCTTTCAGTACCTTGCTCTGTGAAAAAGTACTCTTGGCTGAGAATTCTTTCTGTAGAGATTTGTCTCATGTTTATTTTAGTTTGTAGGAATCAAACCTCTCAAGGTAGGTACTTTTCATAGACTTTCCTGCCTGAGAAAGTGACAACCATATGAAATTTCAAAAGTCATTCATACAGAATTTCATTTCACAGCTTCAAGTTTAAATGTTCAAGTTTAAATCTTTGCAGGTGTTTTATTCTGAAACATTGTCCCAGTGGACATCAGTGTGTGAAATTTATCACAGTTCTGAATTGTATACCTTTGTTCATATAGTAAAACTTTGAGGGACTGCTATGTGCCACCATGAAAAGGTGCTAAGAAATCAATGGTAAAAAAATTCTGGGCTCTGCCATTGAGGAGTTTACCACTTATGTACATGAAATATACTGGCAGCTGATAAATTATACCATACCTAGATGGCTACTCATGCCCTGGGTCACTTCTGCTCTATTTTGCAGCTAAAGTCAGAAGCCATTCAGAGCTCCCATTTTCAAGCAAGACTTAATGAAGTCATTAGAACCTTAACTGAGGTAAGGAGGAATTTTCAGTCCTTGTGTGGGACACACATCTCCTTTGCTGCCTTTTTTCATGCTGCTTGTCATAGTGTGTCTTACTGGCAAATGTGAAAGTGTAACATTCATGTTGAGTCCATGGGGCATTTCAAAGTAGTATATGGCCTTGAGTTCATTGACAAATGTGTCCGTGCTCCTGGGGGGCAAAAAAGAAAGAGAGAGAATACTGGCTTTTTTGAGTTAAGTTATTATTGATTCACCTTAAAAATTAAGCCTGACCTTGCAAGGGTTATCTAGCTTTTGGGACAAGGACAAATAGAAGGTGGCCAAAGGGCAGGGCAGACACCAGGGAAGAATGCTCAAATGCCATTAGTTCAGATAAGAGTGTGTGTTATCCATGCTGAGACATCATTATGTACATTTACTTTAAAAGTTTTTATCTGTTAGGATTTTTATTTTTTAAAACATTATGTTTACTGAAGAAACTGTGAAAGTACAGATTCTAAAGAAGTTAAACCAGTCTTGCAACAGTCCTGAGTGCATGGTTGCGCCTCTTCCCGACGATCATGTCCAAGCTGGGTTTCTGTGATTGGTAGTCTTACTATACCCAGTGTTTTCTAGCTTATTTTTTCTCACTTAGCATACTTGTTTTCATTCTTATAAAACATGGCTAATTATAATACCTAGCACTTAAAGACATTTAGTAATTATTGGTGGAAAAACATGGATTTCTGGGCAGAGAAAAACCATTTTACACATATGAATAAGAATGTGCTCAGAAAAAGAATTCTACTGAAATTTAAGTTGTTAAAACTTAGGAGAATTAGAAACTATTATTTTAAAATGTTCGTGAATTATAATAATCAATGATAGAAATTATTTAAAGAAAAGAAGAGTTAAAATTTCTATTTTTAGAGATATTTTATTAAGTAACTTTCCCTTTCTTTCTACTTTTTAAGTTTTTTTTTTCTCTTAAGACAAGATATCATGTGTTCCAGGCTAGCCTCAAATGGTGTAGCTGAGGGTGACTCATAACTCTTGATCCTTCCAAGTGTTGGGATTATAGGCATGAGCCACCACACTTAGTGTATGCAGTGCTGGAGCTGAACCTGTGGTCTTGTGCACACTAGGGAAATATTCTACCAACTAAGCTTTAACCCTTTTTGAGATTTCTTGTACCAGTTTTTGAGAACAGTCTTGCTTAGTGAAACCCAAGAATATTACTATTACTTTCTGCCATGATTGGTTTATTCATTCATTCATCATTCATTCATTTAGCAAATACTCATCAGTTAACATAAGGTTCAGGTCTAGTGTAGGAGACCCATGTTATAGAACTACTCATTCTCAACTAAGTCTCTACCTCCTACAAAGTTAATGAGAGTCTATGGTGGCCTTTAATTGAACGGAGCTTGGATATTGTCCCATCACCAAACTGCTATGTTTTCATCAATAGGTCATCAATGTCTCAGGGGTGATTGGTCTTCAATCAAATGCAATATGGCTTCTAGGACATCTTCACCTTTCTACCTTGTCTTCAAATCAAAGCAGAACTTCCGGTAATATTAAAGTCTTAATATACTGAAGCTAGAAGAAGGAATGGCTGGCTCAGGGTTCTGCATTTCGTTTAGGGGATAGGGCATCACAGATATTCCACATGATGGGGTGTTACAATATTTACTTTATATCTGAGCAAAATGGAGTGTAGAGAGGCTTCCAGGCTTTCTTCAAGTCACATGGTAGAAAGTAGTGCTTTGGATTTAGATTTTTGGCTTCCAAACCTCATATTCATTTATACTTCCTCTCTGCCTCCCTTAGAAGATAGAGTAGATACTCAGTCAAGTACCTGTATGTTACAAATGAAAAATATGAGGCTCAGAAATATTATATGAGTTACATTAAGAGTTTGTTTAGTGACAAGTCCATAAACAAAGAATTAGATCCTTGAAGCTTGGAATAGACACTTTATTTTTACTAAAAGTAATGTTTAAAAAAATCTCTTTATACAGAGCTTACACAGTAAAACCCTTTCTCAAAAATATAAAAAATAAAACAAAAAACCTATCTATTTATGACTGGGATTTTTCTGCCCAATGGCTATATAAAGATAATGAGCAAAACACATTCAAAGACGTGTACCTCCTTGAGGGTTGGAATCCTAGCTCTTCAAATAACAAAACCCTTTCTATTTGTTGTCTTTGGATAAAAGCAATGAAAATATTACAATTCCCATGTGCTTAATTTATGTTCATACTTAGAGATTTTCTGGGGAAAGAACCACCATAATATATCTGTCCCTTGGTCCTTATAAATGGTATTTTTGACCCACTAGCCATCTTGTACCTGGTCCACAGAGGTTTAGAAAATAAAGGTCCCTCACTAAAACATAGTTTTGTGTATTCCTGGTGGGTCATCTACTGATAGTGTAACTATGATTGTGGGCTTCTACAATTTTTGTTTCCCTCACTGCAGTCACTCTGCAGCTTTAGACAGAGGACTTTGGTCCACATCCTTCCCAACATGATGAACCTTAGACAGCTGGAAGTTGTCATATGAACATAGGAAAGGGAATTTCAATGTTAGAAACCTTTGCTAGTGCTAGTTTTGAAGGTCAGGGCTCTTACAGTATCCTGGTAAAATAACACATTATGTCAGGCTTGGTGTGTGTGTGTGTGTGTGTGTGTGTGTGTGTGTGTGTGTGTGTGTGTGTGTGTGTGTGTGTGTAGACTTACATTTGTGTGACAGAGCACTTAGTCAGTGTACTCAAATGAAGTAATGGTGAGTCAGCTTACACCAGGTTCTTCTGAACAAAGTAATTGTGTGTCTGGAAAACACACTTACTCGTTCCCAATGGAATTTTCCAGTTGAGCCATTCATTGTAGCAAAACTGTCTCATGAAACAATTATGGGGATCTGGGAGGAAAAGGATTTAGGGGACTCTCAGGACTCAGCTAGCAGAAATGTCACTGGCTCACTGGTTCAGGTCAGCGGCCACATCTGGTTCTTTGTACAAGTTGATCACTACCTTAAGTAAGAGATGGTGCTGGTAATCCTGGTTTTTGAATTTCCTTGGTTCATACAGTTGATGCAGCATCCTAACAAGGCCTCTAGGACAGTGCCTAAGCTTAGAAGCCCAACAGGCTCACTGCCTACCCTGAGGAGGTCATTGGATTGGAGCTCTTGGTGTGATAGTATGCAAGGGAGGCCGTTTTATTACTACTTCACTGGAGTAACATCCTTTGTGATTTTTGTTTTAAGCCTCTCCTAGGTTTGTCACCATTTTAAATTTTTCTGTATAGCCTGAGTGATTCCCTCAAAGCCAATCACTTATCCTAATAGAATTAGTTGCAGCTACAGGGTAGAATAATGGCATAAACATCTCTGCCTTGTCTCTGGGTTGAGATGGCAGCATGAGATCATTACCTCTCCTTCATTAGCCCTGCCAAGTTCACTAGTTAATTTGATCATTTTCTGCCTCCACAGTTCCTACTGACTACAGCTATTTGCCCGAAGGCAGTTTTATTAGAGCAGCCATTGGCTTCTTCGTTACAGGAGGAAAAAAAGGCAAGTGATCACATTTCTTGGATTTTATCGTTCTTTCCTTCATGTTCTGTAAGTTATGTGCCCAAAGCACTCTCTGTAAAATCAAACAAATCAAATCTGAAGGGGGGGGCGAATGTTGTCTTCTGCTAAACCATCTTCCTAGATGATTAGGAAGCTAAAGAGTTGCTCTATAAATGTGCAAACCCTGTAGTCTCATGTTGTCTTCCATTTGGTCACATGGAGCTGCACCTAGTGCACGTTGCTTTTTCCATCTGACTCAGTGACTGGTGTAAGTAGACAAAGCACATCCAAGTGTTCTTTGCATCTTAAGTCCGGCTGGGAAGTAGCCCTTGTCCCTGTCCTTGTCTGCTCATTCTATGCTGATAGAGTCACAGGCTCTAATCCTGTTTTGTTTTGTTTTTTTTTTTTCCTTGGGACACATCTATCCTGCTGTGCTCCTGGTTTGTGGCCCTCCACGTTAGAGGATAGCAGTTTAGTGTATTTGTTTGACCAGAGCCAGAGCAGTGCCATGTGAGTTACTGAAGAGTAGCTCTTATATGACATACACTTCTCAGATTGTGAGCAACAAGTATAGGCTGCTAGCACTGTGTATGTCCTGGCTCATGTCAGTTTTGTTAATATAATCATCTTACAGTGATATTCACTGCTTTCATTCTTTCCTGGCTGGGCAAATCAGTGACTATGTGATAGCAAGACCATTATAATTTTAAAAAGATAAAAATGCATTTATAAGTGAATTCAAATGGAAAACTCCAAGAAATTTGGAAGGAATGATTTGATAAATGAAGTTCATGGAAAAAATAAAATCTTTCCATTGAAGAGAAAGTATTGTTGCTTGGTGTCCCCAGGAAAGAAGAATCCTAGAGCTATTTTTGTGGCCTGGTCCCTTTAGTCTCTGAGGTATAGGATGTATGCTCTTATTCCAGGATTATGAATTAGCACTGTTTGCTCCTAATTTTTTCACATAAAAGTTGACGTATGATTGATTATACCATTGTTCTATATAAACACTGTTGTATATAATATGCAAATTAGTTTAATGATTATTATTGCTATGGATTATGTCTTCTTAAAATACATATAATAGAGATGGCTTCATTAGGAAGAAATTGAATTCTTATTAAATAAGCATCTGAATTTTCCACAGCCAGAATAATGTTAGCACCATATATTTTTATTATCATTTTATTAAGCTGTCCATTGTTAGATTATAAAATTTAAAAATGATTAAATGTGAGAGAGTAGCATGAGAAATGAAGTAAAAACTCTGAAGTCAAATAAAAGACTTCAAAAGGGTATTTTTTTCTGGCAAATAAAATACTATTTTGACCCCCCAAATCCACATTTCTGGGCAGAAATGAGTTTGCTGTGAATCCTCTGGGGGCTCTTGGTTCACTTGTGATTCTCAAGTCCCGGCTCACCAGAAAGGACTGTGCTTGGAAGCTGGAAGCTCAGGTGGTCCTGAGATGCTGCAGTGTGCAGCCCTGCTAGAAGCTTCTCTGAAGCAGACTTCTGGAGTGCTTAAAACTTCCATCTTGCCAGTTGGATTTTTGGCATTTTCAGGTTGTGGGAGAGGGCTGCCTTTCTGTCAGGTTTGCTGAGTAGATTCAGAGGAAAATCTATTCAGCCCACACATTACTAATGATGACCCCAGAGGAGTGGGGGCCGTGGGAGGCTGACCTCCTCCTCCAAAGCCCCATTTACAAAAACAAAACCAGACCCTGCTCTGTGGGACTAAATGGGATGGCCAAACGCAGAGGTGTGCATGCAAACGAGCACTTTCTTCTTCAATATGCCCAGCTCATTTGAATTTTAATAACTCCCTTCTGAAGGAGCTTTTGAGTTTAAATGTCTGGATGTCACTCACCAGAACCCAGTGGGGCCGCTGGTAGAAGGATGACAACGTCAGTGAACTCTTTTGAGGAAGAGATGTTTTTTTTTAAGAATAAAAATCATGCTTGGTACAGGCAGAAGATAGGCCACTTCAGGGATGGCACGGCTTCATCGCCTCTGTGGACTATTTTTAACTTTAATAACTCACAAGAAAAAAAGTGAAGGGTTATATTTGATTCACACATATGCTAGAATGAGAGTGACATGAAGATTTCCAGCACAGCCCATGAAATCTGAGAACGTGTCAGACTGCTTTCTGGGGCTTAGGACTTGCCACGCTTTATATTCGCACCTTAATAGATGTGTGATGTTAGCGCATCCGTTACTTCATGGAGACCTGCACTCCACTGCCATACCAAGGCAGTGGAATTCCTCTAGTTTTTAGGGAATTCAGTTCCTAGCTTTGAAAGGAGTTGTGTCTTTGTCTCCCATGTGATATGGTCTGTCTTCTCTGATCTGGCCCTGTTGGTCTTCAGTCAGGTGTGTGATTCCTTACCTTTGGAAGTCATCATTCTCAGTTACTATGGAAATTTCTCAGCTATGCCAGCCTTAAAGTCTTTGCTCAGAATTGAATTTCCCTCTATTATGGAATCATCTTTTTTTTTTTTTTTCCAACACCAGGTCACTCTGTAGCAGAGGCTGGTCTTGAACTCAGTATATGCTAAAGCTACCCTTAAACCCCTGATTTTTCTCACTTCATCCCCCAAGTGCTGAGATCACAGGCATGTGCCGCCACACCCAGTTCTAATTTTGAGTATTACAGTTTTCCTTCTTTCTATTTATCCATCTGATTTTTGATCTTCATGATTTCTTAATTCTATACCATTTCAATATTTTATCCACTTCTTTAATAGAGCATTTAAAACACTTAATAAAAGTAATAATTACTTCTGATGCCCAACACTGGGTATCTCTATATAACAGGAATGTTTCGTTGCCATTGGAGCATGTGGCTAAGGCTTCCTAAGTTCATTCTCTATATTAAGCTTTAAATGAAATGTTACCTGAGGAAAATATATAAATCTGTGTAGTACAATGAATGGTATTTCCTCTAATTAACATTGGTCAGTGATCTATGCAGATAAGCCTTAGGTTTATACACAAATTGTCTGAATTCTTATTCTCAATCTTTTTTTAGAATCTCAGTCGTTTGTGGACTAGTGTCAGATTTACTTGTTCAGACAGTGTCTTGCAGAATTGGTGTACTGAATGATACTAATGATATCAAAAGGTTGTCTGTTTTTAGGGAATTGGTTGCCAAAAGAATGCACCATTTTAAAATATTTTGAACTATTAGTATTTTACCTATACAACTCTGAAAACAAACTAGAAATGAACACATGTGTATAGCGCTGAATTTAAAAGTGGCATAAGGAAGAAGATGGCAGCTGAGCAGAATGGCTCATACCTGTAATTCAGTGCTTGGGAGGCTGAGCCACAAAGATCACTGGGGTTTTGAGGCCATCCTGTTATATATAGTGAGTTCTAGGCTGGGCAAAGCTATAGAGTGAAGCCCTGTTTCAAAAAAAAAAAAAAAAAAAAAAAGGAGGGCTAGAGAGATAACTCAATAGTTAGCAGTGTTTCCTATAGAATATCTGAGTTTGCATCCTAACACCCACATCAGGTGGCTCACAACTTTGGCTCTAGGAGACCCCCATACCACCTTTTGGCCTCGTTGGGCAACTGCACTCATAGGCACAGAGTCACCCACATACATATAAATAAAACAATGCCAAACAAACAGAAAACCAAAAGGAGATTTTCTGGAATATCAACCCTAGAGATGGCTACTGAGATAGTCCAATATATGTCCTGTTGGTGTATATATTCATTTTTATCCATTCATAAAATGTATAATACCTAATTATCTGATTTTTAAATGTTACCTGTTCCTGTAAATAAGCACAGTTGTCACTTATCTTTTGTGACAAGAGGCATGGAAGACCTAAAAAACTTAAAAACTGATATAAATCCCTTCTTTCCCAAGTTGCTTTTGGTCATGGTATCTTTTGCAGCAACAGAAAATAATTAGAATGATATGCTCTGTCCTTTTAAGTAATATTTCTCAAGTTCACATTTGTCACCATAATTATCACTTAAAAATGACTGTAGAGTAATTCATCAAGGAGCAGGCAGGATTGCTTGGTGGGTAAGGCAGCTTGATACAAAGGATAACAGCCTGAGTGATGCCCAGAATCTACACAGTAGGAGAGAACTAATTCCTGTAATTTGTCCTTTGACTTTTGCATGCTGGTGCTCGTTCCCACTTGTACAATAAATAAGTAAGGGTAATTAGTACTTCATCAAGTTGATATATCAGAATTAGTCATTTTGCTACGGGGTCATTTTTAAAGTTTCTATGTAGTTTCTTTATCCAGGTAGGTTTCTGTCTTCTGCTATAGCTTTTCTTACAGTGAATTTTCGGCAGTTTATTAGTGGGCAAGATTGTGAAGATTTGCTAATGAGAAGGATGGCATGGCCTCTTTAAAGATTTATTTTTATGTTTGTCAGGAGGGAGTGCACACAGGTGCAAGTGTGTGCACATGCGTCTGTCCGTCTCCTCTGTGTTGGTGTCAGCTATGTGGGTGGAGTGCCCTGAAGCTGTAGTTATATGTGGCTCTGAGCTGCTCAGTGTGTGTGCTAGGAACAGAACTTGGGGCCTCTGGAAGAGCAAGCCCTTTTATTCAAAAAAAGCCTCTCCAGACCCTGGCGTGGCTTCTCAATGCTGCCAAATATTATGACCCCTTTCTGAAAATAGAAACCAGTATATCATAAAGGTTAAAATACAGGAGTCAGACTACCTAGGCTGCTATCCCATTTCCACTACTTGCAGCATATGCAAATTCAGGCAAACCACCTAGCTTATAGTGATAGTTGTTTCTGTAAAGTTGAGTAAATGATTTATTCTTCATTATAGAGTTTTTGAAGCGTATTAGTTAGGTTATATAATAGTAACTAAATAAAGAATGAGCCCCTTTAGTTGTAATATCCTGTTATAAAACATTGTAACATACATTAAAAAACCAGTGTGATACCAAGAAAATCCATTCAGGTATATTATGATGCTGTAAGTATGATTTAATTTTTATTTCAGTGTCAGAAGGAAT